AGCCGTGGATCCAATCATGCCTGAAAGGTCAACGGGTAGAGGCCAGACGAAGCTCAGTCTGACAAAGCCAGCTGCTTGGGCACCTCCCGGATTTCTTCTTTCTATCCACACCCGCCCCTGGAGAGGTCACTCCAGCAAATAAACACGGTTAGTGGTAGTTTACCAGTTGAAAAAACAACCCCGTTAGATGAACGTAGGGTGCCTGGGGCTTCCTCTCAACGGTGAGAGAAGTCTTCGCACTTCAGCCGCCCAGCCAATAAGGTGCTGTTCCGTCTACGTTGCGCTTGTCTCATTGGATGCATGAGGCTCAGGGTTGATCCCAAGAAGTGGATCGATAATAAACGCACAAGGGAACAACGATCTTAACCGAAATTCAAAGATCTTGCGTAACCGGTCTCTAGGAGCTCCCACACGGGTACTTCGTTCACGCTCCCGCGTTGGATTTACGCCCCACTGCGTTGTGGGTTAGACTTTTTGGTCAAGGGCTCTGGTTAAGGTTCCAAAAAAGCCCTTCGTCGGTGTGGTCAGCCGCGAGGTATGCCGTGCCCCATAGTCTTAGGTACTCATTTGGAAGACCATCTTTCCCATCTGTCTAGTTCCTCCTTCAATCCCGAGTATCCCCAAAAACCTACTGTTTACAAGACCCACGGGATATCACTCAGCATTTTGTCTAAATTTATGGTTGATAATCTGTGAACATATGGCTCGGGGTCGGTAGGGAACTCTGGTTTGGTAGAATTAAGTTGCAGACGCAACGTGTTGAATCCGGTTTCCGGTCTCTTGATGAAATCGTTTCTAGTTTTCAGTGATTTTATTGTATTTTCCCAAGTCGATGCTACGCCCAAGTAGTGATAGATATTGAGATGTACTGGAAAATACCCGTGAACTGCATCAAGAAGTGAATTTGGCAAACAGGCTCGTTTTCGGTGCCTCATTTGCTAACCAAATACAGTATTCTTTTATAGATCATAAAGTTATATAATTGAGTGAACCGGAAAAAATGTTGAGAATGTTTGTCTTTGTATACGCGTGTAGATACTATGGATAATACAGTAAGGGGTGTATGAGAGTTCAAATCGTTCTACAAATATTATTTGTACTGTACGATTTGACACTCACTCTGGCGTTTATGGCTAGTCGTGGGAAATCCAGAGCTCTGAGTGACTGTTTTTGAACGCCCAAGAGGGTTTGTTCAATCGAATCGCGATCGCTTCGGCTGTTGACGATAAGCGATGCTTGACTTGATGCGATCTCACCCTGTTGATCACGTACATGGGCCTGACCACTTCACTCATTCGGGTACGATTTTCGGTTTCGACTAAATGCGCCGTGATCGCCGTTTCCCCGGTTCCCGTCAATCTGCGATTACGCCAGCTGGGGTGGGGTTCCCCAAGGCGTTTGGCCAAGCGGCGGGTGGTACGACCAATGTAATTGATTCCACAGGAACACACAAATTGGTAAATGCAGAATGAGGTCATTTCTATCAGTAGAAAGAACTAGTTTGGAGGTGTTAATTATGCGTAAATCAGCGGCATAATATGTATTTCTGACAGCAGTCTACAGACGTCTACTTCTCATTTCAGATGATGTGTCACCTTAGAAAGAAAATGGACAATTGAACAGGTTTATTTTTAGCCGCTATCTCAGATTGCATTTTTATGGTGACTTTCATATGTAAAATGATCTTATCTGGATATCCATTTGCTATTAAAGTCGTTTTGCTCTTTCCCAGTTCTTCCTCACATGTACCAGGTGGACATATTCGCATTGTTCTGTTCACCATGAATGGAATCAATGCCTTCTTTCTCTGTGGAGGTACAAAAGTGTGATAATTTGTGTAGTGTCTTGTCCAAGTCTGTTTTCAGTGAATGCTACGTCGAAGAGACCTGTGTTTTGCAGCGCGAGAGTAAGACATTGAGGAACGCCAATCGTTCGGGAGACTCGTTTTCTAGTGTGAATCTTTATGAGCTTTGCGAAATTGGTGCAACAGAACAGCGGGACTCATGGAGGTATCGACCACATAGAAAATGTGATCCATATAGCGCCGATGTAATACACATTCTTTTATGTAACCATCCAATACTTCAGTTTCCAATTTCGCCATGAACACATCGGCCAAAAGGGGACCTAAGGGAGATCCCATTGCAATCCCGTCCTTCTAGCGGTACGTCACCCCATTGAACTGGAATTGCGCATGATATGTGCATAGGCAAATTAGGGTGCGAAGGTCCTCAATGGATAAACAAATATTCGTCCGTCTGCGCTCAATCTAATCGCATAGATCTATAGATCTATGGTCTATGGTTGCGCGTTCAAAAGCAGTCACTCAGAGCGCTGATTTCCCATGGCCAGCCATAAACGCCAGAGTGACAAAACTGGTTATCAAATAAGTGTCAAAACGTTTATGTATTTGATTCATTCTACAGTACAGATAACATTTGCGGAATGATTTGAACTCTCATGCACCCCTACTGTATTAGCCATAGTATCCATACCCACGCAAACAAAGACTGACATTATCTACGTTTTTTCTGTTTCCTTGAATTGCGTTTGCCTGCAGACGCAATGTGATATAACTTCGTACCGAATGGTGACATGTATTTCTGGTCAGGCTTCGCGACCCGTGACTGTTTTCGTTTGAATGCAATTACTGTGTTCTTTTTGATTAGAACGAAGTTGAAAAAAGGTTCCGTTCGATGATATGTTTGACCAAAGCAGGCAAATCGATTTAAGTGGACTATCATCATTGATTTTCGGACACTGGCCATACTGTGTAAAATGACACCAGAGGCCATATCGAAATCCACTTCTCATGTTACTTATGCGGTGAAACGTTTTCGCTTTTGTGGATCGCCATTTCGATGTTGAACTCTCATATCCGTGGCTGACTATTGAATCGAAAATAGATTCCTCTGCAATCCTTTTTTTATCGTTCATTTGCCTTACGCTTTGTGTTGATTTATCGAGGTTGATTGCATGTGGTGTCGCCCTGGACACAATCGGAGTTATTGCTCCGTATGTGGCGCAGAAAACCCATCTCATGGCATATTTGGGAAGACTGGCGAATGGATCAAACTCAACGGTCACTGTTTCCAGCGTGGACGCGTATCAAGGACGTGAGATGGACTATATCATTCTGTCCTGTGTCCGCTCTAATCCCCATCGGATTGTGGGGTTTCTGAAAAACCCGCGACGGCTGAACGTGGCCCTGACTCGTGCTCGACGAGGTTTGATATTAATTGGCAACCCGGAAACATTAAGCAAGGTGATTGTTAAATAGATCTATTCTCCAAATCTTTCAGGATTACGCATAACATGTTGATGACAGTAATCATTCCCTTAATGATATTTGATCGAATTGGAAAGGGTTTAAACTCATTGTGCACACATTTGTATATTGAAGGAATCAGTCTGAATTATACAGAATGAACCAACGGTGTTTTTAGCACATTCGCCGCTGCAACCTTCATACCCTCAAACAACCGTAAAATTTAGAGACCAGGCTAGCGCGTTCTCCTTGAGTGATAGTCATAATCTAGTTTGATCAAATAGGCTATTTGACATGATTGCTTGTGAATGCAGCCCGGTTATGACCTCCTCATTATCGGAGGGTAGACAGTTGGTCTTTCCACCAGAATGGTTTCAAGGATACACTTCACTAGAGGCCCATTGACTGGAGGATGAGTTTAGGCCTGCTCACGATAGCAATCTCAAAGGCCCACGGTTGGGTTAGGGTTCTGTTGGTAACTGATCCTTTCGAATTTCAGTCGGTTTAAGACAGATAAACAATCAAGGAAATAGGATATCACTTTTTGAGGAGACCCACTGAAAATATTTGCTTCTGGCTTTTCCGTTCCGCTTCTTGTCCTGAAAGCTTCTAGTTGCTTTAACGTTGTGTACCAGCGTCTTGTGGTTGATGCTTATTACCGAAATTTGGTTTGAATGCATACTTTTCAGATCTTTCACTGTCATTGAAAGGTTTTCTTTATTCTTCGTGACCAAATGCTCCACGGTCGACAGACAACGAGTGCTTGAACGAGTCGTGAGAACAACCCAAGAGTTATGAACATGTTCTTCTGAGTCAGGCTAAAACTCTGAGACCTCTCCCATTCGAAACATCTGAGGAGTTGTCAAAAACACTGAGTAAACAATAACGGAATTTACAATGGTTAGTTGGCTATAGCGGTTCCTTCCCATCATCCGCACAGCATGTGGTTCGTACCTGATTCTTTCATGTGGGTCCGGTAAACATAAACCGTCGATCGGATGAATTTGCTCGTCGTCTACCCAGGGAGCAAGAGTGATAACCGAAACCCCTTTAACCACCTGAAATCGTTAGCTTGACTACTCCTGTGCAAGGCACATGTGTCATCGTCACAACGTTGAACAAAGAAGAGTTCTGCAAACATCAGAAGTCAAGTCAAGTGAAGTCAAAAAAAAGCTTTATGCACCCAAAAGGTGAATTTTCGGCATCACATAACGTTCCCCAGTGGGGAAGAACAGCCTTCCGCACCCTACCAAAACTTGACTATCCAACCTGCTCTTTGACCTCTGTCCGAATGGGTGTCTGATCCAATAAAATTAAACAGTTAGATTTGGAGATTGAATTTGAGAGCTTTTTCAATCAGTGTCATTTTCTTCATAGGAGTTAGATAAACAGAAATCCACAGTTGTGAACTCATGTTACCAATATTGCGATCATAAACCATCAACGAAGGGACTGCTAACGTTGGAACACTTGAGGCGTCTCAAAAAGTTGCAAGCCAATAGAGAATTTATGTTATCAAGACCGGACAAAGGTGCAGGCATTGTGCTCATGAATAGGTCTGATTACACAGATGGAATGAGGGCAATACTGAATGATCCGTCCAAGTTTACAAAGACCCCGACGATTCAGATAGAAAAATTGATCACGAAATTGCAGCATCTGAAGGAAAAAGGAACGATCGATGCAGTGATCTTCGAGAGAATACGATCAACGGGTAAAACAATGCCGAGGTTATATGAACTTCCCAAAGTGCACAAAGAGGGTTTCCCTATGAGACCCATTCTAGATATGTACAACTCCCCGTATCACGCCGTTGCGAAGTGGTTAACAAGCTTACTGGAACCAGTGAGACTCGCAATTGGCGAGCACAGTCTACGAGACAGCTTCCATCTTGTAGAAGCTTTGAAGAACCTCAAACTTGAGGGTAAACAGATGATGTCATTTGACGTTACATCTTTGTTCACAAATGTGCTAATTAGTGAAACTGTCAACCACGCATGTGAATGTATTCAGAGGAACAATATCGATGTGGGAATTCCGTTGGATGAGCTGAAACAATTGTTATTCGTATGTACGACTAACGTACAGTCTCAATTCAATGGTGAATTATATCGCCAGAAGGATGGGGTTGCAATAGGGTCCTCTTTAGGAGCACTATTCGCCGACACCTTTATGGCAAAACTTGAGAACGATATTCCCTGGATCCTCATCAGACAATGTACCCCGTACAGACGATACGTTGATGATATATTATGTATAACAGATTCAAATGCGGATACGAATGGGTTTCTTGAAGAACTCAATAATGCCCATCCGAAGGTGAACTTTACTCTGGAAAAAGAAAAGTACAAAAATTTGGCCTTTTTAGACGTACTCTTTGGTTCAAAGGACGGACACCATCGACAGTGAGCTTCAGTTCTTACGTACTGTCTTTGTCCATAGTGGCTACCCAGAATGATTTATCGATAGGGCAGTGCTGAAACACGGGGATCGGCCAAAGGAAATAGGAGCCGCCAAAAAATCTGTCTATGTGCATCTGCCGTTCAAGGGAAATACGGATGTGGAAATCGTTCAAAGAAAGCACACAAGTGCAGTAAACAGAACATTCACGCTGCACAATTAAAACCTGCGTTCACACCTAAACCGATTGTTTCCGATTGAAGGACAGAGTGCCAGATTCTGCAGCTTCATTCTGTGTATACTCATTCAGCTGTTTCTGTGGGTACATTGGCCGCACAACCAGGTGCTTATCCGATCGCGTTCGGGAACAACACCCGATTTGGCTGAGGACCGGAACAATTAAGACAATTGCAAGCGCAGTGTGTTCGCATCTTGTTGAGCCAAATCACTCGGTAAATGTGGCAGGCGCGTTCGGACCGATTTATAAGGTTCAATGCAGTCAAGAGCAGTGAAGCATCGTATCTTAGCCACGGCTGAAGCTGTAAGTAATCGTTTTCATACCCCCCCCCTTGTGCGCCTAGAAGAAATGTGTGCAAGCACTTAATCTCCCCTGACCCACTTCAGCCACTCCAACACGTGTGCAATCACTTGAACCTTTGACACTGATCAATTTCACACAGGCACACATACACGCATGATTGGAGCCGAAGCCATTGGGACTCGAATTTCTATGATTGCTAGTAATCAGTTAGATCACAAATTTTGGGCGAACGTATGTTTTCCGTGTGTTCGTTCTCAAACCGTTGCAATCATATTTATGTCGGAAATTACGTAACTGGGATTGGGGTCAAACAGCCGAGGTCAATCAGTGATTGCAAGGGGACGGGGAAAGGTTGATTCCCCCCCCCCCCAGTTCTGGTTTCCCGATTACAATTGGTTGTATAAACATCGTTAATTGATGTGGGTTGTCAGTGCGCTCGCACTTTGATTAGGACCGTTTCAGTCCGTAGACAAGAGCTTTGGTGCACACAGTTCTGGCTTAAATTGGCGAATGATGATTGCATCATTCACCAATTAAACCTCGGTTGTGGTAATTCGAAGAGCCTAGCTTTGTGGGACTCAGCAAACGGTGGAAAACTTAGCAT